CAACCCCATCCTAATCACCTTGTTACCTTATCCTTTTCCTCTCCCTTACTCTGCTATTGATACTGGCCCACTAGCCTCCTTGCAGTGCCTTCAACTGGACAATCATGCTCTCATCTCAGGGCCTTTTGCCTGGAACACTCTTCACCAGCTGGCCATACCCCCTCACTTAATATTTGCTCAAATGTCCTGTATCAGAGACCTGTTCTAACCATTATTTCTAAAACGGTGTTTCCCCTTAGTCTCTTTCCCCTTGCCTTATATTTCTTCTTAGCATTTAACACCTGACATATGTTTATGTTTTTCAGTCTTCTCTCACTTTTCTAAATTTCATGTAAGCAAGGAATTGTTTTGTTTATTATATGGTCAGCGCCCAGTACAAAGCCTGGCATTCGGCATTTAGGAGCTCAGGATGTATTTATTGGATATTTATGGGTTGAGAGATGGCAGGATTTAAACTCAGGTTAGGCTGGTTCCAAAGCCAAACTTTGCACTACAACCAGGAACTAGGGAGCCAGATCTAGAGGCTTGGGAAAAAATGCCAAACATTCCATTCCTCGCCCCTAGGTGATAGGAGACTCCAAGAGGCTAGGAAACAACACTACAAAATGAAACAGCAGCAGATCCCAAAAAAGCAGTCCTTAGGGTACCATGTATTGATCAATGCCCTATCTGCCCAAATGTAGGTGTGATATAACATTTGGTCCTGGAGCCAGACGGCCTGAATATAACCCCCAACTCCTCCACTCACTAGTAGTGTGACCCTTAACAACGTACATAACTTCCCTTGCCATAGCTCCTTCATCTGCAAAATGGAGACAACAGTAGGTGTCTTGTAGGGTTTTGTGAAGATTAGTTAATGTTTATAGTATAAAATGTTTACAAGCACAGTCAGTACTATGTAAATGTTCATGATTCTATTTTTTCTGGACACAGAAGACAAAAAGGAAGAGAAGGCCCCAGATCACTCTGTGAATCAATGGGCTAAGTAACAACAACAACAACAAAAAACAGTCTAAAAGTCATGTGGATAGGCTAAAAAAGATCTCCTATGCCTACACATCAAGAGTAGGAGTAGTCATGGAAATTTATCTGGATACCATCAGCCTCAGTGCCAAAGCTTTGTTATTTAATGACACCAAACTACATGACAGCCAAAGCAAAGTTAGCTTATTCTTTAAGATAGCAGAATCCAGGCCTGCATGGCTGAGTGGTTGAGTGTCGACCTATGAGCCAGGAGGTCATGGTCAGGGCACATGCCCAGATTGCCAGCTCAGTCCCCAGGGGGGGATGTGCAGGAGGCAGCCAATCCATCACTGATGTTTCTATCTCTCCCTCCCTCTTCCTTCCTCTCTGAAATCAATAAAAATATATTTTTTAAAATAAAAATAAAAAGATAGCAGGCCGAAACCGGTTTGGCTCGGTGGATAGAGCGTCGGCCTGCGGACTGAGAGGTCCCAGGTTCGATTCGGGCAAGGGCATGTACCTGGGTTGCGGGCACATCACCAGTGGGAGATGTGCAAGAGGCAGCTGATTGATGTTCCTCTCTCATTGATGTTTCTAACTCTCTATCTTTCTCC